ATATATTTTTCCGATCTTGATGTTGATGATGATGACGAATAGAAAAATAAATGAAACGTTTTCTCAGAAATGAAAATGAACGCGTTCCCATTTGGTTGGTCGCCCATTTCATTTCATTTCTCATTTTTTTTAGCTGGTCGATCAGTTCGGTTTTTTCCTATTGATTCCTGTTGTGTGTGTGTGTGTATGTCATTTTCGAACCCTGGATGATTGGTTGTTTCTTCATTATTACTGCTGCTGTTGTTATTGTGACGTCGACATGGTATTATTATTATCATCATTATTGTCCTCAAATTGGTCCATGGTATTGGCTGCCAAACATATAATGCCGAATGGGTGCTTGAAAGCTAAAATCATACCACACATATACAGAATATATACAAGCGCATACATCAGATATCATTGCTTCTGCTACTTGTTATTCTCTTCTGTTCTTCTGGTTTTTTTTCAAAAATATTTGGGTTCTGGTTTGAATCGAATCGAAACGAAACGAAACAAACCAAACCAGCTAGCGAACCGAAAGAATCATTCAAAAATTCTTCTTCTTTCATTGTAGTAGATTCATTTTTCTAGTTTTTGTTTGGTTCGATATATATGTGTCGTCATCGTCATGTCGTTGATTTCAATTTTTTAGCTTCAACAATCCAAACAAAAAAAACCGAAAGATCGACCGACCGACAACCCGATCAATCTACAATATTTATATGCATTTTCGCCATTCATTTTGTGTTTGTGTGTGGGTGTTGTTGTATTTTAAATTTTCTACATTTTAGTTTCATTGTTCGGTTGTTTGTTGGGTAAAAGTTGATATTATTTTTCTGTCGAACATCATCTATATGTCCAATCAATGACAAATATCGAATATATTACCGAGATTGAAAATGAAAAAATTCTTCTCTTTTGGTTTGAACAAAAATTCTGTATAATTTTTTTCTGCTCCCCATGAACAAATGATAATTTTTTTCCAATTTAAAAGTTATTTCAGAAGAAATGGAAATGAATGCATGATTTTTTTCTCCTGGTTCTGCATTCATTCATTCATTTTCTTATTTTGTTTGTTTTTTGGTGAAAAGAATGTGTTGTTGTTGATTTGTATGTGTTTGCTCTATTGATTCTTGACGCCAATTTTCTTTTTGCTTAAAGAGTTTTTTCCTTCTTTGTATCTATTTCTTTATTATTGATTGTTGTAATTTTTTTCGCCATTAAAATTACATAACATCATCAACGACAACAACAACAACATTTATCGAAATAGTGAACCAGCAGGGGACATCAATCAAAATCAATTTCTTATTTCTTCTTGTTGGTTGTTCATTTTTACTATACTTTTTTTAACAAGAAAAAAAGATTTTGACAATTTTTTTTCGATGAAAAACTTGAATTTTCATTTAAATGATGAAAAGAATCAAAAAGTTTTTTTGAGTTTCAATTCTCTATGACATCCTGTATGTATGTGTATGTTGATCTTGTGTTTACAGCGAAAAAAAAACTTTATAACATTTACGAATAAGGTCTGATAACCTTTGATCTTTTGTTTTTTTTCGTGTGTTTGGAACACTGTTTTTTCCGGACATTTGTTTTGAGCAGTGGAATGAGAATTATTGCCTAAGACTTTTTTCTTCTCCTATTGCTAGTTTATAGCAACAATAAAAAACATGATTGGTTGTAATGTTGATGTTATTCTTGAAGTCGACGAAAGAAATTTCATCGAAAAAAAGCATCATGAACAACGATAATGGCCAAAATCTCAACATTCAATAATAACAATAATAATGTTCATTGCTTTTGTCATTGTCGTATTATAACGATAACTGTCGATACCAGGCGTCGAATGTTGAATTCGGATGAAAAATTAATTTTCAAAAAAATACAATCAATAACAATATAGTTGATGCGATGTAAAAAAAAACAACAACAAAAACAACAAAATGACAACAACAATAAATTCCTCTTGAAATCAATTTATTAACTTACAATACCAATATCTTGAATGAATTCTTTTTTCCCGCTATCATCATCATAATCATTGATCCAATTTCATATCATAAACAACAACAAAGAATGTCATTATCAATGTCGATGATAATAATGATGATGAAGATCGGTCGATCGTTTTGATCGGGTTGATCAAATTCATCGGCAATCATCAAAGATGATGATGATGATGACAACATTAATGAAATGAAATAAAAAAAAATCGAATATCTATCATCAATATTGATAATATCAGATCTTTCGATTATAGATTATTATTATTATTATTGAAAAAAGGCTTCAATAATCAAATTGAAGCAATGAAACGACGAAAACGTTGGAAATAGAAAAAAAAATATTGAAACAAATTAATCGTTGTGATTTATTTGAATTATTCTATTACATTACCGTGAGAAAAACATAAAGACTTTCAAAGAAATTCAAATATTTTCATCATATTTGTGTTTGTGTCTGTGTTATTTTATCTGTTTTCATATTCGTATCTTGTACTATCTTCCTGGCTAATTTTTTTATTATAAATATAACATAACACCATTAATACCAATTTGGTCGATCTTCATCAAAAAACGAATTCTTTTTGATATCTCATTCTGAAACTGTTGTTTTGTTTGATCGATCCAAATTGCCAATCATAATATCCAGGAACAAAAAAAAAGCAATTGGCAAAAGACTCAATAGTAAATGATAGGAAAACCAGAAGAGAGAAAAAAATAAAAGAATTCAACGAATGGAAACGAATTAGATTGTTATCACTACAAAAAAAATCATCATCATCATCAACATCGACACGATCAATTGTATTTCGATTCAAGAGTTCAACAACAACAACGAAAATGAATCCAAATGAAAACAAAAAAAAACATTCGTGACTTTGCTCATAAATTTGGTTTCAGTATTTTTTGTTTTCTCATGAATTTTTTTTCTTGTTTCAAAAATCATTGATTCAATGACTCAATTCTTTATTTGTGTTTGTGTGTGTGTGTGTGTTTTATCATTGCAACTTGTGATTGTATTCTGCTATTCTTTCTTCTGATTTTTTTCCTTTTGGCAACCAAATTATCTAAATGAAAAAAAAACAAATGACAAATAACATGAATTTTTTTTGTTTTATTTTGTTTAAATTGCAATCATTCAAATAAACAAATTCAATGAAGAAAATAAAACATCAATAAATGAAAATGGAATAATCTTGGATCATATTATCATTGAATTTTTGTCCAAAACGAATGTTTTTTTTTGGAATGAGAAAAAACATTCGTTTATTGTTATTGCACAACAAAAAAGTTTAAAAAAAAAACATTTTTTTCCGTCTATCTCTCTGGAGTATCATCATCTTGGACTTTGAATCTTTTTCACTATTCTTGTGTGTGTGTGTGTGTGTCTGTTCAAACATTTATTTTTTAATATCCATAGTTCTTTTTGTTGAAAAACATTTATACACACACACACACACACACGAATACAAATGAATTGAACAATAAAACTAATCATCGATTCATCACTTCACGAAATAATAAATTGTACTTGATCATATCATAATAATAATCATCATTTTTTTCTACCATTTTCATTATTTTCGTTATATAATTTGATTCAAATCATTGTCATCATTGTTGTCATCATAATTTTTGTTTAAATGTTTATTATTATTACAATTTATTCGTAAAAAAATATTCTGAAATCAAATAGAATTTGGTTGGCACCAATCAACTACCGACCGAAATAATAGTGAAAGTGAAACAAAGAAAAATAAAATAAAATAAAAACGAAATTTGATAGATCCATTCTGTTTCATCATTGATCAGACATTTTCAACAAAGAAGAAAATCAAAAATATTTTTCCTCGAAAACCAGAAACAAAAATCAACTCGTCAAGGGAACAAGAGAGATAAATAAGTCGTAAATTGTTGTCATCAAACCGATTCATTGTCATCATTATCATCATCATAGTTTTTTGGGTCTAGAAGAAGAATTATTCTGCAGAGTAAGAAAAAAAAAGAAAGAAATGAAAACAAAAATAATGGCACATTTATGGCTACTATTATCATCATCATCATTGTCATCATTGTCATCGTCAAAAGTGGTAGTTAAAAAAAAGAAAAATTTTTCTTCCTTTTTTCTTCGAAACAAATAACAAACGAATACGAAACGCGCATAAACATACACATACCCGAAAATGATGATGATTTTCTAATGTGATGGCATCATAAATCATGTTGAATTGAATGCAAAGAAATTAAACGCAAAAAAATACGAAAAAGCAAAAAAAAAATCGAATTTCGCCATAAAACAACAACAACAACGACAAGATTTTCGAATGCAATGAATTTTGTGTCCAATTTTCACAACATCACAAAATTCCGGGTTTCTCTTTCTCTCTATTTTGTTTTCTTATAATATCACCAAATTTTCATTATCGATCCAGATTCTTTGGTGTTCGATTATTGACATAAACTTGGATATTCTGTTTCAACAACAACAAAAACACAATATTTATTCGAAATCACAGAAAAAAAATGAAAACAATCGAGCTTTAATGTTCGTTGAAAAAAAAATTTCACTTTCATCAATTTATTCATCATTTTTTAAATTTATCTTCATCATCTTAGTCTTATTGCTCAAATATAATTCAATCCGTTTCTTTTTTTTCTACCAGTCTACTTATATAAATAAATACATAAACGCGCAGAAAATAATTTCAATTGAAAATTTTCAATAAAAAGTAGTGCCTATACCGAGATAACTGAGATATATAATAATCATCATCATATTCAAATTGTTTTCATTTAGTAATATGAAAATATAATTTACCACAAAAAAAACCGGAAATAACGGCTCGAATATCATTTTTGGAATATAGTTCAGGATATTGTCATAATTTTATTATATTTATCATTCTTATCATCATCATCATCATTGTTATTAATAATAATCATAATTTTATTATATATTCAATCAAATATATTATCAATTTGGAAACATTTAATTCAAAATTGATTCGCACTGGAATTGGTTAGAGTTGGCAGTGTTGGTTCATCCACACCACGAAGCTCATTTATAGTGCCTCCTGGTGTTGTTGCCGGTGCAAATAATAATCGCAACGGTATTGGCAGTGACGGAAGCAATAGTTTTGATACAATATCTATTGGTGTGAATCATCATTCTATTGTTTCATCTCCATACGTTATTAAAGGTAATAGTGGTGGGGGTATTGGTGGTATCAACATCAGCACTGGAGGTGACGAAGAAGAAGAAGAAGACGACGACGACGGTGAAGAAGAGGAAGAGGAAATTATTAATTTGCCTACAAATTCAAATATTGATCATCGTCAGTCAATACAATCGACATCACTCACTTCAAAAAGAGGTTCCTTCAATCAGCGAACTAGATTTCGAAGTGGCAGTGGTGGTTTATTGATTCGACGGCAATTATCTTCAAAAGCACGACCTAACAGCAGTGTATTATTTCAACGACACGCATCGCTTGGTTGTTCACCAAATCGTCGAAATCGGGCTATCAATTTTGAAAGGTCCGACGATCAAAATTTGACAGAAAATAGTGGTCCACACATATCGACACCATTTTGGCATTCCAACTATCGTTCGGTTGTAACCACCGCAACAACGGGTTCGTCACCACATCTTGGTAGTAGTTTTGGCGGTGGCAGTAATCCATTACAATTATGTCGTTGCAGTTCTGGTGGCGATCCACTTTCATTACCGTCCGCGTCCAATACACCTCCTCCTCATACATCATCGTCAACAGTGCCACCCCAAACACCACCCCCATCACATTATCAGTATCAACAGAATCAACATTATCATCAATTGCCTCCTCATTCATCCGTTGCTTATATGCGCCTTGCACAATCGCTGCCATCAACGCCAAATTCTTCCCAACGGCGGGCTCAGCCTACTCATCGTTCAGTAGCTTCATCATCACCAATGCGGCCTTCTATCTGTCATCAGCAGCCATCATTATTACCCGGACATTCACATTTTCATCATCATCAACAGCAGCAGCAGCAACATCATTATCCTTATCCTCTTCATCATCAACTCGATTCGAATTATCAAAGTCAAACAGAAAGTGTCGGTAGTGTTCATTTTGCCGGTGTTGGACTGCCACCGTCATCATCACATCATATTCAAAAGAATAGTTATAATCAACAACCACAACAGACACAATATGGAAGTCATTATGGATCATCGAATATTCTTGGTGCCAATTGTATAGGCATCGGTGCCTCGTCTAGTAGTGCTGCAACTACTGTTGCACCTTTATTGCCAGTAACTAATGATAGTCCAGCTTCGTATCGATCAGGACATCAACTTAGCCAAACAACAAACGATCACAATAGTGCAACAATACAACCGGGTGATTCTCATATACATCCGCCTTCTTTGCCTCCACAACATCAACTTCATCATCATCCACATCAACCAGTGCCACAACCATCACATCAACATTCTGGTCCACCAATACAATCATCACATCCAACATCTCATTCAAGACCAGGTACAAGTGGTGGTAATGGTGCTGGTGATGATTCCGGTCTACCAAAAGCAACATTTCGTGTATTTCAAAATTTGACTCCTCGCCGTTCATCACAATCACAGGCTAATAGAACTTTTGTTCGTCGTGGTTTTCAAATTGGTGACAATCTACGATCGTCTTCCTCAGTCATGCATCGGCATACTTCACATGGTCCATTTTCATCATCATCGGCGCCATTAATGAAACTATCAACATTAGTTATTGTTTTACTTGCATTCTTAATCATTGGTTTTATTGTTCTATCGCCACTTTTTCATTATCTTATGTGATAATACATGGTGACCACAAAAAATATACATACAAACACAACTATATATAACAATTCAAACATAACAATTTAACCATATATGGACAGACGAATTTGATGCTCACAGATAATTAACTCTCATACAAACACACCCGAAAAGAATAATATTTTGGAACAATTTTTTTTCTATCTTGTCATTAGACAGACAAAAATCTAACATTCTTGATCTTAGCCTAAAGAAAAAAACCGAAAATATTTTTGACAAGGTCAAACCTAAATGAAATGATCCTATTATTAATATCTTATAAGATATATTTACGAAAAAAGAAAATAAAATAAAATAAAACAAATATCCAGGCGCTGTCAATCGTAAATATTGCTTGATTTTCATTTCTGAATTAACCACACAAACATTCATACACATATTGAGAAAAATCAACCTTATACAGATAACACAAATGAAAATTTTCTAGACAATTTAGTCTAGGTCTTGAAACCATATAATAATATCGTTATAATAGCCATTATTATTATTATTATTATTATCATCATCATCACCATCATAACTATTATCATCATTATTATTATTATTATCATTGGTCGTCGTCAGTTGCTTGCTGGAAACTAATATAACTTTTTTATAAGAATCAACAACAACAACACGAGTGAAAGAATATCTATAGAAAAAAACAACCAACAATAAACTCTAGCCGACACACACACAAATTCAAACAAAGCGAAACAAAACAAAAAATTCATAACAGTATTCTGGTACAATGTTTATTTCTTATATGGATGATAATATAAAAAAATTGTTGCAACCGAAAAAAAACTAAATGATTTACTTTTCCCCTTCCCCCGTTTACCATTTTTATTTGATTTTTTTTTTTGCTTCTTGGAACAGACACAGAATGTCCAAAAATCTACATCTTTTTCTGGTTGATGGTGATGATTTTATTCTTGTCGATTCTTTGTGTGTATAAATTTCTATTGTGTCTTTTATTATTATCATTATTTATTTGTGTATATTACAATGTTTTTGTTGTTGTTGTTGTTATTGTAGATTGATGAATATAAGAAGTGATGAAGAGAGTGCAAAAGAATTCAGTAAATCACACAAAATGATGATCGTCAATCGTAAATGAGAAACACATGCCTAAATCTTGATGTTTTTTTTACTATGAATTTCTCAAATTTTTCTTTTTCATTCTTGTTACTATAATATTCTGATGATGTTGATGATGACAAGAGAAAATAAAAAGAAAAATTCATCAAGCTAACATCATTTTTTTCTTTGTTGACAAACAATCATCATCATCATCATCATCATCATCATCATCATGGATTTTATTACTGTTGAAAGCATTTTTTCTTCTCTGTTGAGGATTTTTCAATTGAATTTTTTTTTCATCTCTTCTTCTTCTTCGAAAAAAAGTTAGCAAGTTAAATTTTTGGTTCGTGAAACGATTTTCTTGAAATTCTACAAAAGATGATTATGATGATGAAATACTTTTTTTAAAACATTGTATATAGAATTTCATTCATTTTAAATATAAATAATAATCTTGAATTTAAATTGAGTTTAGTTGATTGATCGATTTTTTCTTTGCTGTTCATCCGAATCACAAATTGACAACAACAACAACAAAAATTATTTCCTCACCAAATTCCACGCCACAACTATTGATGAACAACCAATGAAAAAAAATTTGTAACTAAATTATCAATAATGACGACGATGATCATAACAACAATGGTGATGATTTTTTTTTGTAAATTGTAACTGACAAAAACACAATGTACATTTCATCTTTTTTTTCACTCGCCTGCTTTGTATTTCAAATTATAATTTTTTTTCATTTTCATTTCCAGATTCATTCATTTTATTATTATTATAATTGATTATCATTGATTGTTAATGTTCGACATTTGTCTATCAAACATACATCATATTATATAACGCCTCTACACAAATAAACACATTATTTCTTGATTATATACTGTTATTATTAATATTATCATTATTTTAGATTATTAAAAAAAAAATCATTGCTTTATAAACGAATCTCTTTTCTTTGAATATTCTGTTCATTTATTATTGTAAAGTTTAATGATAAATATCTTTTTTCTCAACATTTCCATTGTTAAAATTAATCCAAAAAAAAAGAAAAATTTTTATTCATTTATGAAATATTGAAAAAAATGTGTAAAAGAAAATGGCATTTGGATATTATTTTATCATATAGAGAAAAAGAAAAATCATGATACATGTGGATTTGATCGTTGTTGATGATATATTTTGCTTCTATTATTGATTGATTAGAAATTGAATTCCATCAGGAAATAATGGTGCAAATATTATGGAAATTACAATTGGCGAAAGAAGAAAAAATGCTCTTTTTTTTCTTCAGAAAAAGCATATGAACTGAACTAATTTGAATTCAAAATCCATTTATTTATTTTTTTTTCTTCATTTATTGAGAGATCAATATATGAAATATCATTTACTTTAAGTGTCTATGTGATCATCAAATATTTTTCATATGAAAATATATTTCATATAGGTCATTACCGTTTAATGATCATTGTATGTATTTGTGATAATTGTGTGTGTGTGTATGTTATCTTTATAAAAATTTCCTTTTTTCTGACATACTTGATTTTAAAATGAATCGAATGAAATTGAGAAACGATTGACAAAAAAAATAGGAAATGATAATAAAAAAAGAATATATAAAATGAATTATGGCAGTGAAGCTAACATTTATTCAATCTGTCACCTTTTGCCATCATCAACATCATTTTTATGGGACGTTTTTTTCGTTGCAATTTTTTTCCAAACACAAAAAAAAACGAATAAAGTTTTCTTTAAAATTCCTTCACGTTTTTTTGATTTTTTGTTCACTCTTGCACACGCATTTACCATTATAGATTCTGGATGAAAAAAATTGTCGAACAATAATGATTTTATGATACATGGAATCATAAAATTATGAAAATTATGAACAATATTTCTGGGAAAAAAATGCTCCGAAAAAATGGAAATATCTTATTCACTATATATTGATTGTATGGATGCAAAAAATATTACATCAAATACCGAAATACAACAACAACAACAACAACAAATTGAAACAATAATAACAATAACAACATGAAATTGCAAAATTAATAACTCGTTTCCTATTTCAAATGAGTGATGGTGAATCAGGGAAATAAATAGAAGAAAACAAAAAAACATTAAGTAAAACTTTTGGCTCGAGAAAAAAAATATATACAAACATTTCATTTGTTATTCATTATGGTATCATTGTATAATTGTTTACAACTACAACTATATTGCACTTTTTTTTCAAACATTTGCCTCAATGGAAATTTGAATCCAGACATTTTTTTCTTGGTTGCATTTTTCAATTCATATTAAAAATAATGAATTGAAAAATTTCTTTAGAGATTTTCTTTTTTGCATTCATTTTTATTATTATTATTGAAAGAATTTCTTTCTTTCTTTTTTGTATGCATTTTTGAAATAATTTTATTCATAGACACGACCGTTGTTATTTGCATGGTTCATTTTATCGTATTCATTCAGCTTTTTCTCGTATTGGCATATTTCAATGTATTTAATATTGTCATGCCAATGGTTTTAGTCTCAAACAAAATATATATAAAAGAAAAGTGTGTGTGTGTGTATTGAGAAATTGATTGTATAAGAGCAAAGAAAAAAAAGAGAAAAAAATTTGCAAACAAATAACATGAATAAAACAATGATGCAAAAAAAGTTTCTTTTCATGATTGCCAAACCTTTTCTTTTTTTTTTGAAAGCAATTCGAGTATTTTTTACTTTCTGATTCTTCAGTCCCAAAACGATTTTTTTCAGAATTTCATTTTTTCCTATTTAATAAATAACTATTTTTTTCATAATGTCCAATTTCTGGTGATATAAGAACTTTATTTCCACTGTTTCATCATTTTTTTTTTATTTGGAGAAATACAAAATAAGAGTTTATTGTTGTGTGTTTGGTAAAAAAAAACCTCGGACCTAAATCGATCTTCTTGCTTCGATATACATTTTTTTCATTACACTTTACCATTTAAGTTGTATGAAATTCTTTTTCACTTACACTCTTCTTCAAGTTATTGTTTAGGTTCAGTATATATAAGATGATTTGAAATTCAAATTTTATTGCCGATACCAATCTTTGATTCTTTTAGCTGGAAAAATGTGTAAAAAGAGAGAAAGAGATGCAGAAGAAACGAAAAAACAAAAAACAAAATTCGACCCAAATTTTGCTTTTTTCTCGATCAATTTGAATGATTCATTTATTCTCAATTCTTTCAGAATGATAATGATTGTAATAATAATAATAATCATTATCATTTATTAAGATAGATAGTTGACTTTATCATCATTATTCTTTCTATATCTATTTATCGATCTATCTATCTATAGTTCTATTTATATCTATCTCGTTTTTTGTATTTCAATTTTGATTGAAACACACTTACGCACAAAATTTTTATCAATTCTTTTCTGTTTTTTTTTGTCGGGTACGAATCGATTCTTTTTTTTCTTCCAACAATTTCATTGATCGTCATCATCATCATTCTAATCATCTGGTGTATATTATATATAATCAAGAATCACATTAGCCAATCAATCCATTAATCATTCTATTCGCAAGATTTCTTTATTTTGAATATTGTTGTATTTAAGAATTTTTTATTTTCTGCTACTGTCTTTTTTTCGGATTGAAAAATGCCAGATCCCTGTTGAATTGAAAACTAAAATTGACCATTGATATTTTTTATCAATTGAATTTGCCAAAAACGAAAACTTTTGTTGAAATGGTCGTCACAGATTTCATTCTCATCATTAATTTTCACTGTGAAAAAACAAACAAACCATAACTGTTTTGATAAAAACACTTTTATTGTCAAAATACGACGGCAATTCTCTTGTTCAAATAATGTTTGTTTTTCTCCGGAATAAAATAGATAAATGAAATTGACCTTTTTTCAAATTGAACTTATTTGCTGTTTTCTTTCATTATGATTGATTTTACTCACAAGAAACTTTCCCCTATTTTTGAGATCATTTATCTAAACAAATGCAAAATGAGTTTTCATTAGTTTTTCAACATCGTTTTATTTTTGCTTTTATCTTTTTTGTTGTGACTGTTGTTGTTAGATTTCAAAGTTCATTTTGTTTCAGCATCTTCAATGACCGTTTGCGTTAGAATGTTTGTAATTCATTTTCTCGTCAAGGATTCGATTTTTTATGCTGATTCAGTAATGATATTGACATAATGATGATGGTTTTCTAGCTATTGCAAATCATCTCATCACATTGTTTATTGATATATAGAATGTCCTTTTTGATCCACTAGATCAAATAGAGGTTTTCAACAGTCGACCCATTGTCCAGTTTTGAGATTTGATCTGGTATGAGCATTGACTTTGTCATGTTCGCTATTGGATAAAAAAAAATTGAAAACCACTGAAAATAGATAAACGTCATCAAATTTTTTGTGAATGTTTATATGATGATGGAATCCACTAGAGAGAATGGATGAAAGAGAGAATCATCTGCCCGAATTTCGAAACCAGAGAAAATCCACGAATGAAGCTAAAGACATTTGTATCAACAATCTTTTTTTTTTTTGTTTTGTTTTGTTGACTCAACTAGACTTTTGATTCATCCATTTATTGCCTTTTAAAAGTCAACTTAAGCCATTCCTTATGGATGAATTCAAACCACCCTACGTCAAACATTAAAATTGGAATTGAATTGAAATGAAACCAAGATTTTTAATGGAAATTTATAATTATTCTTTTTTCGATTTTAAATTTATGTTGTTTTTTTTGTTGGATGAATGTTGAATAATTGATAGCTTACTCTCGCACAAATTCGTTTTTACTTTTTCGATTTTTCCAAAACGATTATTTCTATTATCATCATCATCATCATCAAAATCATCCATATTCATGTTTTTTTTTTCTATAAATTTGATTCATTTATTTAGAATCTGAATCTTGTTTTCATTCTCATTTTCTCGCAATCGACGATGAATGAAACATGAAATACTAGGCGAGAGAAATCCTAATAATAATGACAATATTTTGATTCAAAAATAACCCCCTCCTTTTTGTTTGAAAAAATGAAAGGCTTCATATCATTGTCATGGAGAGTGGCTTATAAATCTGGATCAAAAAGCAAAACAAAAAAACAAAACAAAAATGTCACACAAGTTTTTGGTTGGCCATATTTTTGGTTAGATGTGCTGACGACGACTATGATGATGATGATGGTGATGATAAACTTGACAGGATGAGAAAAAAACTTTTGAATCACACCCGAACATTGTATAAAACCCAGAATAATAATGGATTGTCCGTTTGTGTGAAAATCCGAATATATACATTGATAATAGCGACAACCAGATTTGGATAACAATTTTCTTGTTTAAAAGTAATGATTTAAAACTAAAATAATGATGAATGTGATTGTGAAATTTTTATTTTTCCATGATTTACTAAACTTGAAATTATAACTTTTCAACAAAAAAAAATGATAACAAGCAAAATTTCACATATTTAATATTCATTGCTATTTATGATTCTAATTCTCTATTCGGTTTCAGATTTGTCGTTGCTGTTCATTACATTCATATTTATTGTTTGTCATTTCAATTGTTCAATGGAACAAAGAGAATATGATCGATGAGTTTCTGTCTTCAAAGTCAATAAATGTATTGTTTTATTATTGCGATTTTGTTTTTTGTTTTATTTTGGATAAATAGAAGGTTGATGGGAGAGGTACAGATGAAACATAGATAGATAGACATTCGGTTAAAATGCAAATCATATAACAAAAATATAACAAACCAAAAAACCAGAAAAAAATCACTCTATTTATCAATCATTCGATGGACAAGATTTTTTGTCATGATTTTTTTTTGTTTTGTGAAAATATTCTTCTATTTATTCATATTAATGATCCCATTCATTGATTTACCCTCAATGCTCAAGGTTAGAAAAAACGGATATTCGATCAACAACCATATTTGATTGAATGGATGAATAAAACAACAACACGCAATACATGTTTTATTTTCATTTTCAATATATGAAACATGTTCACCGAATACAAATGCAATATTAAAAATTACTTAATGTCAAATAGGAAATAAAATAAAATCAAATGTTATTGTATTGTCACAGGTATTTAGTAAAAATTGTACAAGTTTCTATTCTATTTTCAATCATTCACGTGTGTGTGTGCATTTGTCGATCTATTCGGGTAATTATTTTTTCCAAGCAATATTAAAAATTTATGAATTAAAAATTTCTTTTAATAACCATTCTTTATCATCATATCTATCTTGGTGGTTTTAAAAAAAATTTGGTTTTTCCAAAAATTTTCCATTAAAATTTTTGTCAATTTCCTCTTTATTGAATCAAAATCTGCTAGAATTGAATTTTTTTATCAATTCATGAAAAATGATTGAAAAAATGGAAATATTCTATTCATGATCAATCTATTATTTTACATTTGAAATGATATCATTCAACAACAACAAAAAAACTGTGACGATATCGGAGACAATCGAAATCTTTGTGCATATATAATCTTCCTATTGCGAAGATGAAAAAAATGAACATCAATAGTAATATATTGGATGGATTTATCATCATCTTTTTTCATGATTCTAAAATTAAAATATAAATGCAATATTATGCAATCTATACATTTATGCATACACACACATACGAAAAAATCCCAATAGCAATACATATTTCTTTAATATCATCATAATCATTTGGATAAAACAAAATTTATCATCATTTATTCACATTCTCATTCATAAGGATACTATCAATCCATTTTTAATGATTAAAAAAAATAAGATTAATTTTCCTAATGAATGATTTTTTTCATAATCATTCAAAAGAATTTGCCAAAAAAGGTTCATTTGAGTTTTCGTTCGACTATTATTATCGCTATTTATTATAATATCCGAGCACATTATACCATTTCATAAGTATATATGTTGAGGGGTTTAGATAATAATATTATTAAGACCTATTCATTCATTTTTTTTGCCAAATGCAAATAAGTCTTCTTCTCAAATTCATTTTTTCATCTCATTTTTTTCGGCTTCTGTTCTTATTTTTTATTCTATTCTTCCTACACACTTCTTTTGTGCTGATTTCTTCTTATCGATGTAATGACCTATATGTGAAGTATTCGAACATCATCATTATCATCAATGTTTTATATGTCATATTTTCTATAATATGGATGCATAACAATCCAAATTGAATATACTATTGACAAATATATTCATTAACCAAAACATATTCTTTATTATTATATGTTTATTGTGTTAAAGCTATTTATTATTATTATTGTTATTATCATTAAATATTATTGGTTGTTGATGATCATTGAACATGAATATGATCGAATCCAATGTTTATGTCCATTTCTCATCAATGCTGTTGCTGCTTTTGAACCGATTTTTTATTGTTCGTTATGATTCTTGTCGTAGTAAAATTATTTGAATAATTTGAATTCACCATAGTATTATTATTACTATTGTTATGATTGTTTGCAGTGTTGATTAATGATGATGGTGGTTCGGTATTGATACGCATCCATTCTTGATAATCAACTCCTTTTGCACAACGATTATGATAAAATTTACAATCATAATTTTGACAACCAGTTGTTCGCCAAAAATAACATTCTTTTGATGAACGTATCTGATTTTGTTTACAAATACGAAAATCTTTTTGATTTTCACTTTTAAAGAATTTAAAATCCAAATATTTATACGGTATACTTATTCCGGGTAATTGGATGTGTGACAAATATGATATACATTTACTTGGCGATTCAACATTATCATATTCTACAATCAATTTTTTCGATTTTGTTTCATCATCAATAATATCGTTTGTTATATTATCGTCTTTGATCTTGATCTGTAGAATGTTACCAAAATGAACAAGAATCTCATACAATAAATCGATATTATAATCATGACATAAATTTTCAATTAATATTGCTTTCAAATGAAATATATTGTCTATGATCGGTTCATTGAATATTTTACGAACAATAATCGGTAGATTATCTAATCTATATTTTATGCTTAGTATCATATTAGTTGATAATGATATTGAAATATTGAACGATTGTTGTTGTTGAATCGATGTATAGATATTATTATTTCCACTTTCATTATTAGTGCTGTCTATTACATGTTCATTATTTTGTTGTAGAATCATATCATTATATCGTTGTTGGTCGCACAATTTCATTGGTCTTTTATCCATTTCTAATGGATTATTATTATTGTTTCCATAGTTATTATTATTTTTATCAAAATAATAATCATTCAAAGGATTTGGTTTAGTTGCCATTAATTTGTTTTTATATGTTATTGTTATGGCTCGATTCTCTTGTTCTTGTGTTTGAGATAATCTTGCTGTTGATGTAGATGCAATTCTATCACTGTTATTAGTAGCAGCAGATGCAGATGCAGATGATGATGATGATGATGATGATGATGATGTTGACGGATTTTGTTGTAATCGTGGCCAATGAACATATGAAGAATTTGAAGAAATATTGAGAAAATCATTGTTATTATAAAATTTCCAAGAGTAATGGTTAGAATTTTTGAATTGCCATTTTGTATGTTGCCTTCGGCCATGATGATCATTATTTAATGTTTGTTGTTGAGATTGTTGACAAAGGCGGCTTACTTCAAATTCATATTGTTTTAATATTTCAATCAATGTCATCTGATATGAATCTTTTACAATGACCACTTGTTCATTTGAAAGTTTATTATTTTTCAGAAATTTTCCCGTCTCTTCCATTAATTGTTTATGTATTGAATCGATTTTTTGTATCATGGAATTATCTAAACCTCCATACATATCAATTAATGCTTCAGTAGGGCGATCCATTTTAAAATGACATAATGCACGATAAAACAATAGATCCGATTTAAATTGTTGATATAGTTCGGTTCGATTTTCAATCTCATCATTAATGGCTTGTAATGCTATTGTTTTTCGTCCATCTCGTAAAAATTCATTCACAATAGACAATAAAAATTCTTTTCGATTATATGGATCTGTGATTGTCATCATTTGTTTATGAACACGATCCAATAATGTGTCACATTGTATATCGGATAATTTTGATAACAGACAAATATCATTACATTCTAATATGTAATATCGATTCTCTTTTTTAGTATCACCACCATCACTGTTTACCATTCGATTGTTTTGATTGCCTCGCATTGTTGTACCTTTATTACAAATATTATTATTGGAATCTTTTTTGCTATTATTATCATTATTGTTTGTCATTCCAAATTCACATCCGTTTTCAAACCATTTTGCAATTTTTTGTAGATTTAAATTTACCAGTTCCATATTTTTCAGCCAATCAAAATAGCTTGTTTCCAGTATCTTTTTTGTAATAGAAGTTGATAAACGAAACTAGAAATTAATCAGGAACAAATTCAAAAGCATTCAATATTATACATACTCAAAGAATTTAAATGTTTTTTGAAAACATTATTCAACAATGATAGAATTTTCACTTAATTTACAATTGTTGTCGCGAACATATTGTTCGAATATTCGATTTAGCCAGCCATTTATTTGACATTGTTGAAATTGTGAACTTTTTTTTTGTAAGAATATAATGACAAAAAAATCGTTAATTTATTCTGTATATTGTTCTTATATTTAATTAACTATACATTACTCTTAAAAGTAATTCGATATTCATAAAGATGTTGCTATGTATTAAGTTGATTAATTGTTACCACTTGCCATCGAAAACATCTCTCGGATGTCCGTATATCTATTATATAATAATATTTTCTTTTCTTTTATTTTTTTCCCCTGATAAAATACAAAGTTTTTCTATTCATTTTATATTCTTCAAAATTTGCGACCACCATCGACATAATTTAGCTTACAAAAATGAATTATGATGGGGTGGAAAAAAACTTTAAATAATTATCATAATATATTAAAATAAATAAATAAACTTTATTTTCATCATCCTTCGTACAGTTGATACTGGAATTTAATTAATTTTTATTGTTTTTTATTATTAATTAGTCTAGTCATTTTAATGCTCATCATATTCGAATCATTTTATTCATAGAACATCGAGTAAGTTGATCGTATAGAATCGGGTTAAGTCTGAGACCAAGCAAAGAGAAATGGACATGAATAGGGCGGAGGACAACGCTCAATTATCCTTTACCATTATTTCATCTTTTTCATTTACTTTGAAATGTTTTTCTTTCTCACTTTTTTTCAGCTCATTTTTTATTTTGGTCTAGTTATTACTCAAATAAGCCATCTGTAATGTATAATGATGATGATGCTATCTATTCTTGAAATTTGTATGAAAACCACTTCACTTGATCATCAAAACATACTCAGATGAATAATCTAAAAGTTTGCGAAAAAAAAGAACTCCACCTTTTTTCGTCTATTTGATGATCTATATAGTAATGATGATAAAATTGAAAATAATAATAATAGTGTAATGTGGTAGAGAAAATTTTTAGATAATAATCAGCTAATTTGTATGTTTTTTAATTTTTCTTTTCGTTTCAGATTTTTTTTTTTTTGCAACGAAAATAACCATCCACTCAACACAGTGAGAAAAAAGAAAAGAAAATAAAACATTAGGATAATAACATTTCAAGAAGCACCTCTTTTCTGATTCTGTTAAACATTAATCAACGTGAATAATATGAGTTCGACATCGAAAAATAAATCATCGAATGTTGGACATTCGAATGATGTATCAGGATCATCATCATCATCATCATCATCATCACATCATGTTCATGGCCATCATCATCATCATCATCATGGCAATTCTTCTTCATCTAATAATGTTGAAACGATAAATTTGTTGGTTGACAATACCACATTTGTGGTCAATCCGGAAATATTTTCATCAAAAAAAGATACAATGCTTTATCGAATGTTTTTTTCATCACCAAGCATTGCCAAACCGAATGAAAAAGGACAATACGTAATTGAAGGCTTTTCAGCAACTGTATTTGGTGCTATTTTGGTGAGTAAGCGCCTTACCATCCATTGTGTGTGCTTATTATACATTGGAACATCCACACACACACACACATTGAATCCTAAATTTAATCAACAACCCAATTTATATTGTATTTACCCCATCTATTTATCCTTTCATTCATCCATCAGGAAAGTCGAACAATCACTTGACAATTTGATGTATTAGGGGCCTAGAATTCAAGTAGCTCAACTTTTTTTTTCTTTCTTCAGGCTTTGCCACGCGCATCTCATACATCTTGTTCATTATCGATTAATGTGACATAAACATTCTGATGTACATTTACTTACCAGCTCACACATACATACGAATTTACAATATAATCCATTTCCAGGAACTTTGACTTTATAGCTTCGAAATGAGAATTAGATTAGTGGTGACGATTTTGTTTTTTGAATCACAGTTTTAAATAACGTTACGGATGCTAATAAATTTTTCTCTATTATCTTTTTTGAATTAGGATTTTTTCAAGAATGGTATCATCAAGTGTCCACCAAGTGTTAGTGTTTCAGAACTACATGAAGCTTGTGACTATTTCCTTATTCCATTCGATGCCTCCACTATCAAATGTCACAATTTACGTAAGTTGATTGAAAGAAAAAGAAAAAGAATTTAAATGTCAATCTCATTAATTTTGTTTAGGCGGATTATTGCATGAAATAAGTAATGAAGGAGCTAAAGAACAATTTGAAAATTTTCTTTACGAAAAAATATTGCCAGAAATGGTCAATGCTGCTAAAGTAAGTTGAAAAATTGAAGAATATTCCGATATATGTTAATCATCAATGAATGCATCTTTTTTGATTATAGCGTGGAGATCGAGAATGCCATATCGTGATTTTATTGGACGATGATAATGTCGATTGGGATGAAGAATATCCACCACAAACTGGAGAAGAATATTCACAGAGTATGTGTAATAGCCATGATTATATATCGATTCTATGATTTTTTTTCTATATATAAATCGATAATTTTCAGTTATTTACTCAACTCCAATGTACCGTTTTTTCAAATACATCGAAAATCGTGACGTTTCCAAACAAGTTTTGAAAGACAGAGGATTAAAGAAGATACGTCTTGGCATTGAAGGTTGACAAATCTCTAAAATTATTTTGTGGCAATTTTCCAATCTAAATTAATCTGCTTTTCTTTCAAGGATTTCCAACACACAAGGAAAAAATTCGTAGACGTACTGGTGATCGACGTCCTGAAGTTATTTACAACTATATCCAACGACCATTCATACGTATGTCATGGGAAATGGAAGAGGCAAAATCTCGTCACGTTGATTTTCAATGTGTTCGATCGAAATCAATTACGAATCTTTCACTGGATGGTGATGAACCTAATTTAGATTCTGAAACAGTGGCCCGTGTTGATCTTGGTTCATCAAATGTCACAACTAATGTCGAAACAATTTATGTAGATCGTTCCACTAATGGAAATAATGGCAACTGCAGCAACACTAATAATAATGAAAACAATAACAATAATAACAATATTGACACCAATATAACAAGCAGCAGTGGACAGAACAAAAACATCAATAATAATAATAATAATAATAATGATTCAAGTGATTGATTTTGATAATAATTCATCATAAAGACGCTTTTACATTAACAATTAGTTTTATTAATAATTGAAAAATTAAATAAATGAAACAAAAGACAAATCATCAAGAAAATTTTATTTCCCGGAAAAATTATTCGGTTGTAGACTGATTTCTTAATTCTTTGTAATTTTTAAAAAAAGAAATAGCGATAATGCTGCCATCGTTTGTTTAAGAAAAAAACTTAAAAATTTAAAAAATGCAATCTTCAAACAATTACGAAATTGCAATGAATGACTTATAACACTATGGTTTAAACTTGAAATAATTTAATCAAATTAGTAATAATCATTTCGTTATTATTTGCATGAATTATTTATAAAAAATATCGATTGTGTACAGGTAAAAATACAAAATACATTATGTATTCAATCAATTTACAGTTGTTTATGGATTTTTGTTGTTGTCGTTGTTATAAATGTCAAATGATAAATCAATTGAAATAATCAATTTTCCGAGACAAACACACATATATTATGATGTATCGATTTTTCGTTTTGTTTTGTTTGAAAGATTTTCAAATCGTTTTTGTTTGTTTATATGCATTGAGATCAAAGTAAGTGACTGGGTCGTTGACATTGTTTTGAATTGATGATAGCTCGTTTGGATGACTTTTTTAACCTTTTAATTTTCTAATGGAATTTTCTTGATTCTGGATAATTTGAGATTGATTGAATAAATGCAATATAAAGATGTTCCTTATTTCAGGAATCGTTCGAACCGAATCATAATCATGATTGAAAATTATAATCGTGCGCTCCCAGGATCAATTGGTTGGAAAAATTTTAACAAATTTTTTTGGATAATTTGAATCTTGTGTACTTATGTGTGTGTGTGTTCTGAATTATATGCAAAAAAAAGTTAATGTGCAAAATACATACATGAATTGAATGGGTGTGTTGTTAGAAAAAATAAAAGAAAACTTTGCTCGGATTAAATTTGTTCGATTCTGTTTTGTCTGTGTGTTTTAAGCAAATAATCATTTGGAAAAATGGCACTGTTTGAGATCGTTCAGAAGGAAGGGAAACAATAGAAGGAAAGAAATGAGGAAGAAAAAAAATACGGAAGATAAAATTAGTAATTCTGGATTGTTATGGAAATATTGATGTAAATTAATGTAATGTTTGATGATGGGCAAAAGAAAACTATTACAAATATCTATTATAAATTATGTGCATTGAAAAAAATCAATTTTTAACTTTTCGATCAATTTTCATTGATAATTACATAATATGATGCGATCATTGAAAATAATTAGAAAAAATGTATTAAATAATAATTATTTTTAAAATAATTGATGAATAAAATTATGTTGAATAAATGGTGGTTAGGGTGAAACAAAAAAAAAGAGCAAAACAAAAAAAAATTTACGATTTGTTCGTGCTTGCGTATGCGTGTGTGTGTGTGCAAACGAATATTATGATAAAATAATCGAAGCAAATGATGATTCTAATCTTTCAAACAAAAGAAATGATAAAACAGAAAAAACAAACATGCAAGAGGAAAAAGAAAAAGAAATTCATTTAGCCGATTTTATGGCGAGAAAAAAAGATTGAAAAACAAATCTATATCTGATATATTCTACTTTTTTGTTTACCATTGTAATTAAATTATTATCATTTTTTTTTGTAAGCTTAGTGGGCGTATGTATGTATGTTTGTTGATAGGCACAAATATCAAGTTTACAGAGAATGGAATTAGTCGGTTTAGTTTTGTTTTGTTTGTGGTGAAAATTTTGATTCATTTACATTCATCAAATTATTTTTGTTTTTTATTTTTAAGGGAAGATGAAAAAAAAATCGGAAATGCCTAGTTAAATCTGACTGAAATCTACACATACTCACACATTTATCTATAGTTTGAATTGTATAAATGTGTATGTATTGTTTATATATCTGATGAATGAAATGTGTTGGAGGCACTTGATCATCATCATTTATGACCGAAAAGATAAATTGGAAATGAGAATAAAAGGAGATATTCAAGAATTGAGCTTATCGGATACAATTTTTAAGTTTATAATGATATAAATAAAACAAAAAAGAAAAAAAATGATATTTAACAAAATATAACAAAATTCGTATAGGAGCCTTGTGGGCGTGTGTGTGTGTAGGTAGATTTGAAATGTTTGTGTTCCAGTTTCTGTATATTAAATATTTGGGAGATTATCAATCAATCAATCAGATACAATTTAATTATTCTTTTGTCAAACGATATATATGATGTTGAGTTCCAGCCGTTTCTGATACTTCAAATACGTATGCGATACAGAGTAATGTTTCTTGAGTATCGGCATTAGTAATAACCTAATAAGATTCATCAAAAAATAATTAAACGAATTAATCAATGTAATTAAACAATCAATAATACTCACTTGTAAAATTGTAAAATTTTCCAACACTGAATTCATCATATATTTTTCAGGTAAATGTTTAAGCTTATGAATGAAATTTATCATATATTCACACATTTGAGATCGATTAATTCGATAAACATAACGGCCGTTCTCATATCTGGCATATTCTTTCTGCAAATTAAAAATAATATCATTATCTTTAAATATAAATTTCTTTTCTTACCTCAACTTTTTCAACAACTTGTTTGCCAAACGAACAAACTTTTGTTGAACATGCAATAGTCATATTATCATTGCTTTCATATTGACTGGTCACACCATAGAATGCTCCAGAATCATCGGGCAATGATGTACTTAGATCAGCCCAGAATTTTACCAAAAAGAAAGCACTTTGTGGCCCTTTGTCGAACAATTCCTTGAGGCCTTTCTTTTCCGGAAATTTATCATATATTTGGCGAATATCAACCGATTCAAGCATTGGATCGCTTGATGATGTTGGTGTTTGTCCAATATGAACAAACAAATGTTTATCAGTATCATGTTCTTGGTATTCCATAAAAGCTGAAAATTCCACAAGACGGAATTTTTGCGTTGCTATAGATTTTCCTTCAAAAAATGGACCAAAACCATTGGTTAAAGGACTTGTACCATTTGCACCTGGAAAATAATGAGCACCGGCTGATGGCATACATAAATTCTTTAAATCGTTATGAGAAATTCCTGGTGACCAAAACTATATTGATGATAAAATTAAGATCAATAAAATCATTATCGATATAAAAAAAATCAACATACCGATGGATAAGGAGCAGTCACCTGTGGTGCCAGATCAGCTAATGTGGGATGAATCCTATTTATAGTTGTAGGTTTTGGTGTAGCAATTGTTAATGGTGATTGGATGCCGGATTTTTCTTTAATATCCTTTTAATTGGAAAAAAATAATGATGAAAACTGTTTGCAATTTATTCAAGAATAATCCTTTATGACATACTTTGCTTTTTGACTGTATTTCACGTTGTTTTCTTCTCGCTAATACTTGTATATGACTAGAGACCTGCTTTCGAGTTCTCGTTTTTCCTGTACGTAATTTTATATAACGGGCAATCAATTCATTTCGACCTGAAAAAAATTAATGAGAAAAACAAAATGAAACCATAATTATTACCAAACAAAAACAAAAATTATAATTGATTTTCAGATGAATTAAAGGTATAGAATGAACAACAACAACAACAACAAAATAATGAAAAATTATTAAACATTTTCATCATTCAATGTTGTATGATCAATTATTGTCAACTAATAGTTTTGTTTATAATGAATTTTCATTTCTCTTTAACGCATAATAGTATTGTATAGACTGACTTCCACAAAAAAAAAATTAATTCTTATTTCATTTGAATTATTTACACAGAAAAATTCATCGTGTTTTTTCTCTATTTCCCGAATTCTTAAGAATATTTCCTTTCATTTTTATCAACATTATTATCATTGATACAAAAAAAAATTGTTACTTTATTGAAATCCACACCACACATTACCAACCTATTTTTTCCTTCTCCGGTATTACAAACACACAAAAAAAATGCAGACATAGACATATTAAACCATTGTGTATGGCATGCAAACAAAAGAATATACATGAAAAAATAATTCTGTCGTTCCAATGAATTCATTATATTAAGAAACAAAAAAAATTGACAAAATAATGAAAAGAATGAACAAATGCAATATATTTTAACGTAAATAAGAAAAAAACGACTTGAGAAAGATAGAAAAAGAAAAGTCAACATTCTTCTTCGTTTTCCTTACATTCAGTTATAAAAAGGTATAAAATAAAATGGATTGCAATTACAATTATCTCTAAAAAAATTATATAATGAAATGAAATGGTCATAAAAATAAAACACAAACATCAAAGAAGGCAAAAAAAACGGTAAATATCTCATCTTGGCAATGGCCCATTACTGCTGTTGTTGTTGTTATGTAACACAAATTGTATACGTAACGTATTTCGTCACTATAAACAAAAATAAAAATCATCATCATACGTCATCGTCTATTTTGTCATCATAAAGATTGACTTAAATAGATAAATATAAACAGTTTTTGTTTCTGGTCACCCTTAATTCGATTCAATTCCTCCCATCATTACCGTGTATAACAAAAACAAATAATAATAATAATAATGATCAATTCCGGGGTAACCCAAAATTGGACATCAAAACCTAAAATAAAATGAATAAATGATGAAATTGTATTGTTTTTTTCTCTGGTTTTTTTTCTATTGGCTATATAATCGTATCATTTCTAAGATCTTTCAAAGATATATAGATAAACAACAACAATATAGGTGGGTAATAATGTAGCTATTAAAAAATAAACGTCAATTTCTTTTATCTAGATATTTATTTTAGAATCATGTTGGACAATTACAAAGTATAAAAAAAATAGATACAAAAAGATCCACAAAAATAATATCGTTTTTTTTCATCGTTAAAAAGAAAAACAAAACGATTCCTATCAATCTATATCTAAATTAATTCTTTTTTTGTCTCGTTCAAACATAATGACAATACTGTTTATTTTAAGAAAAATTTAATAATTTAATAATTTAATGCATTCGTTTGTGTGTGTGTGATAAAAACCAAAAGATCAAATGTGTCGATAATATAATAAATGTTTTATAAATGTTGCAAAAAAAAAATTCTTTGGATAAAACATTTTTATTTCTGTTGAATTGGCTGAAAAAAACATGATGTTTTATAGATGGATGAGCATTTTAAATTGGGTTCAATTTTATTTCAATTGTAGGTGTGTAAATGAAAGTTATCAACAACAACAACAAATTTTTTGTTGGAAAGAATGTGTTTGTAGGTGTGTGAAATTTTTTTTAATGGAATAGAAAAGTTTGGACCATATTTATTCATAAAAGTTTTTCAATATACATTATATAACCAATCGTTACCACCAGGAACAATAACACAAACATGGCATATACTTCAAATAATTGACGTGATAAACACATGCAAACATAATTCAATATTAGACGAAAAAAAAGTATTGAAAAAATTTTGATAAATATGAATAATAGAAAAGAAGAGAAAAATTTGAATTTTTTTTCGCTATTTCATAACAAAAAACCATTTATTCAATTCAATATGAACTTGTCATGATTTTGTATACAATTTATCTGGAATAGCAAAAAAAAATTTATAGTGAAAACTAATATTTTTACCACATTCTTATTTTTTTTTGCTTGCATAATATCTTTCAAATGGTTTGTTGTTAATAATTTTTTTGAAAATTTGCAAAATATATTGGATTCTGGAACGAAGATAATATATATCCAGAACAAACAAACGCACACACATGTCATATACGGGTATCTTATTCCGTCATTTTCAAATCATATATTCATGCAACAAAAAAAACATTCTCTGTCAGTAAAATCGAAAAAGAAAAAAGTTATTGATTTAAATCGATAATAATAGTGATGATGATAATAATATGTATAGGCAAAACAAGTGAAAAAAGGATTGCCATTCTATTTTTTCCAATATATACCATCATATATATCATCAGTGTAATATTCTCTTGACATCATTTCAAAATTTTTTTTTCAAATACCCTCCATTGAAATCAATTTTAAACATTTTTAATCAAATTCAATATTATCAACACATACATGAATGTTGATTTGAACAGGCCAATTCTGGGACGATGAAGGAAAAAAAATGTTATACGTATTGGGTGAAAAATAGAAAAAAAATGACGGCCAAGAACAATGGGGCCAAAATGACAATTTCACTTTTTTTTCGAAAGCATCATCTTATACATTCATGTATTAGAAATATATCAAATACAAACAAACATTATGGAATTTAGAATTCACTTTTATGCGTGTGTGTGTGATATCAAGAACCAATGAATATTCTGACATTATGTGCATAATAACAATATTATCATTATTTTTGATGTTACAAAAAAAATGAATAAATAAATCGGGTTGCTATTACCTAACATCGAATGTAACGAGAAAATATTTGTGAAAAAAAATTCAATGTAGCTTAGATAAATGTTTTACATAATCATCATGTTATAAGTAATAAAAATTCGTTTATTTTTATTTATTTATATTCTTTTTATTCCTATCTATTTTATGTTTTTCGAATATTATTAGATACATTTATTATTTAATTTACACTGCTTTTTTTCTTTCCATTTTGATTCTTTTCAACCAAAATCAGTGTTTGTTGTTTGGTTTGGTCTGATTTTCTTTCATTATAGCAATGAAGAATTTATATAAACGCAGTCTTCAAAAAAAAGAAAATCAATTCAAATTTTTCTTTTCAAATAAAAGCAATGAACAAATAAACACCACCCATTTTATTCTATTTTATTTATCCGATTATATTGTATATTTGATGATGGAACAAGAATAACATTAAAGAATAATGATAATTGTATAATCAACGATTGTAGAGATTTTCTGATCCCAGATGAACAAACACAAGAAAACATTAACATTAACCAACGATGACAATAATATTTCCAAAGACATTTTGCTCTTTTTCTTTCCAGCCAAAATCAAATATATCAATAATCATCATCTTTGATTCAAGATTCATAAAATCAAAACACAAACAGAAACAAAAAAAGTTTCGCACTCATATAATCATTATGATCATCTAAAATCATATTGTCTTTCGAACAATTTTTTTATTTATTTGCTCCATAATGAAACCAAAAAGGGTACGAACATAACGAGGGTTATCTAGTTTTGTGTGTGTGAAAAAATCAATATTATATTTCATTCTTATTGAATTGAAAATGAATGAATGGATGGATATGAATCGAAAATAAATGAATGAATGAACAAACGATTGTTGAAAACAAATCGATTGAATTCATTTTATTCTATGTTTTTGTTGTTTTTGTTTTTTTTCATTGAAACAACAAATGTAGCCGCGCCATCGATGACAAGACATTGACAAATCTAAATGGCATTCCAACAAACAACAACAACAACACTGATTTATATTTGAAATTTATATGGCTGTTGTTATTCTATATTTGTTTGTGTGAAATAAGGGAAAGAAAAATAATTCTAGCATCAGCAATCAGCAATTGCTTTGCTTTCGATTTTTTTTCTTTTCTGATCCTAGAGAGAAGGGTCCTACTTGATGATGATGATGATGAAAACAAAAAGAATCTGTAAAGAATGAAAAAACATTTAACTTTGAGATGAAAGATTTTTTCTTGACTTTTCTCTGTTGTTGTTGTTGTTGTTAAAAAAACAAGAAAAGAAAAATCGATCAATTGGTCGATCAATTGCTAGATGTTTTACGTATGTTCTTTTCTCTCTCCCTCTGTCATCGTCTTATTCGACAAGAAATGAATGTGAAGAATCTCAAAAAAACAGAAATGATAATGATTCATGTGGATAAACAACAACAACAGCAAAAAAAAAGGAAATGAAATGATTTGAAAAATTTCATTTCAATTCTGGTGTGATTTCAATTCGAGATTTTTTTTCATTTATTTATATAAACAAAATTATCAAATTCCAAGAAAAAAAATGAAAAAAATGACGTGACTTATGAAGAAAAAAAATTTATTTATGATCTTAGTTTGTTTTTTTGTTGCTTATTATTGTTATTATTATTATGATTATCGATATTTTCAAAAGAATGTATTATTTTTTCTGGGAATGATACAGAATTCAATACCACCACTCATTCACTTAAACAACTATCGTTGTACAAATATACAAATTCAAACTTCAAATGAAATTGGAATATAAAAAAAAGAAAAGAAAAATTATTCTGAAAACTTTTTGCGTGAAAAAAACCTCTGAACCTCAAAACCTGCACACGCACACGTGCATATTGTTGTTAAGCTAAATTTTATAATATATTATCCTGGAATGAATTACTTTTTATTTTCACATGTAATCATTGTTTCCATTAAAGTTGTCATCGATGAATAATGAATTTGATGAATGATAAATTTAATTAAAAAAGAAGAAAATAGTGCAGCTTTTTTCCATATTATCATTATAAATGGTGTAGGTGTGTGTGTGTATGAAGATTAATTTCTTTTCTTTTTTACTTTCT